CGAACCGAGACAGTCGAACCGAACGGTTCCAACGGTTTTCATAAACCGTTCCATCCCTACTGGTACTACTTCATCAGTAGGTCTCGGCGCGGTTCAGATACTAGCTTCCAGTGACGAATCTGTGTAGCAGTGTGATGAAGCTCAACATCTGTCGTAGTTTCCTGCGTCTGTAAGCCCTGATTAGACTATCGTTTGTCGTATCCAATTCCCAAAAGCAAATTTGCCAAAGGCTGTTCACCTGACTCTCCGCAAACTTCTTGAATGTTAAGGGTGCTGCCATGTTGGTTTGCTTGTTTACCTCTAGAGAGCAGTAGTACCGTAGATCAAATCTAGGAGACGAGGAATTGTGCTAGCGTGGTCTGTAAACGGTCGTAAGGAACAGGGCTTGGCACAGTTAATTGATCCAAGCTCTGCACGGATCGGTTCTCAGAGGGTAGTATAAAAGGGGCTTAAGAATACTCGATGATGAAGCTTAGCTGAGTGAAAAACCAGACATATACAAAGGTCAATGCTATCAGTTGAGGTTAAAGATGTATTGATTTCTGGTTTTATGATACTGGTGGTTGAACTTAAAGGTGAGATAAGATAATATCTTGGATGTGCACGCTCAGTTCAAGGCAGAAAAGCCAGACAAATTTGGAATATTGGATTTGTCATGTAAGCAGCGAGAAAAGACTCATGGCAGATGCAAATTTCCTGTGCAGCCTTCTCTCAAAACAAAAAGTGTTATTCTGGATTCAGCCTCCCCCTTTATCAAAGTCTCCCCAGGATGTTATGGCGAAAGGGAACAGAAGAACTGCTCCCTTCCTCCGCTACCCATGAACATTTATGGATGGGCCAAGAACTGTTGATAAACTTCCATCTCATCGAGGACAATGGCCTGTGGACAGCGTTCACGGACAAACTGAAGGCACACATTATACACACACAACTAATGTCTCAAATGTCAGATTGACTTCATGTGACTTCAGCCTCCGATGTGACCCTCCGCTGAAATGTTTGTCTCGTGTTACATGTGCTTTTCTTGTGCTGAGGTTGTTTTGATATCTCAAACTATTTCCTGTCAAGGATAAAGTGTGAAATATGCTTTTTTCCCCTCTCTTTCCAAGGTGGCTCCTATCTTTCCAAAGAGAGAAAGGCAGCGCTATAGGGAACCGCCTCATGGTGGGTACCTGGGAAGCCATAAGAGCATTCTGTGGCCACAGTAAAAGCGTTCCCCCTCTCAGACCTCTCAGATTATGTGTACTAAAATAATCTTTTAGTCATGCTTCTTGGACATTAAGATCTAAAGGGAAGCTTCATCTCCTGGTAAGACCCTGTAATTCAGTGAAAGGGTGGAGTCAGAGTAAAGAAAATATGCAATATCCCAGTGGCTGGAAGTTGGAGGGGATTTAGCTGGGAGTTGGAGGGAAGTGGTCTGTCATATGGCTGGTGTTTGACTGGAAAGGGCCATTTTAAATGGCTACTACTGTATGTGAAATGGTGAATAAACAGAAGCCATCCTAGCATTAATACTATGTTCTGTCCTGAACTGCTGATCTAATATTTACGATGGCTCTGGACTTTGTTCTCTCAGTGAACTTTCTGACGGTAATTCAGCTTGAAGATAAATAAAAGTTTGGAAAAGTGCCTCAGATGGAGAGTTCAGCTCCACCGAATGCTGGTGGGAGTTGAAGAATAAAAAGCTAGGAGAGCAGAAATGAGGCTGAGGGAGGAAGAGAAACAGCAGCACAGAAGAACAAGCCTCACGTTTGCCACAACCTCCTGAATAATTGAAGGGCCAGTTGTGCAGCTTCGCCCTGGGAGCTGCGTTGCTCTCCGCCCCGAAACAGCCGCCCCGTGGCTGAGCAGCTCGACATGGAGACACATGCTGATCGATGAGGGTCTGAGGCTTCACCCTCATCTATTATTCACACATATTAGCGCTGCGGGTGCTATGACACCAGAGCCTAGTGAATAATGAAGTCACTCTGAATCAAGTGGAGGTTTTGCCCAACCTCAGAAACAAACAGTGTTTATGCTCATAGAACAGATGTTCACTAAACCAACATCTGGATGCATGTCTGGCTGTTCTGTGTTCATACCTGGTGGGCCCCAGACCAAACTTTGACTTGATGAACTTAAAAATGTGTTCGTCTGACTGGAGCTGCAGCGCTCTCTGTAAACACACAGAAAAGGTCACAAGGTCAACCTTCAGAGGAGAGGAAGGGGAGGAGTCAAAGATTGGGGGAGGCAGAGACAGAGGAGCACCTTAGTCAAAAAGTTGATGATGAAGGTGAGCAGGAGAACCAGGCCAGTGTGGAGAAGAAGTTTGGCAACACGGAGCAGCAGGCCGCCGGTCCTCAGAGAAGACTGGAAGATCAGACAGAAGGATGTCGGTCAGTGAAGGGACAGACCTCACCCACTTTAAACTTTCTCTGGTCGGGATTTCTCCTTCAGTTGTTAAACCAGAAACCCTGCAGGCAGAGGGGACATCCTCCACACCATCCATGGCTTTCCTCTCAATCTGCTGGTGAAGATTCTCAGTCATCCAGGTCATACTCATCAATCCACTGGATTTTGTTTCCAAGTTTGAAGACTTTTCGCTTCCCATCCAGGAAGCTTTTTCTGTTCAAAATGATAGGAATAGCGTTGAGATCGTGGCTTGATAGAGTGAAACAACAAGGCCTTGTTTTGGCTTAGAAAACATGAAAATTTAACCGGATTAATGGGTCCACCACTTAGGAATGGTGGTCATTTGGTGTCTTTTGTTAGCCTGCAATGCCCCATACCCAGAGGTGTAAAGTATCAAAGTACAAAAATGCTTCGTTCACGTCAAGTTCACCATCCTATGCAGATCATTGGTGCGATCTACATCTAGTGAAAACTAGTGTAATCGGATGAGTCATATAACACAAACACTCATTGGTTAGCTAAGGGAAATCATCAGAAGCAAGCAGGTGTTCTTCAAACTGCAAATGTGTATTGTCTATGCCATGCTACAATGTCGGATTCAGAAAAAGATGTTGAAATGTCGGAAAGTTCGGACACAGGCGAGAGCGTATCGGGAGATGGAGACCAACAAGACCTCCCTTATCCTTGGCCCTATCTCAAAGAATTTTAGAAATTTTTAATTTAATTAAACTTTTAATTTATATAGTGACATCTGGCTGTTTTTTTTTTTTTTAAAGGTTACTTTATACGTTTATACTTTAAGTATTTTTGGAGCACATACTTTTTTACTTTTACTTGAGTAA